CCATAGCTCTGCTCCTCTCGTTGCTCCGATGATCGTGGAGCATTTGGCGGGCGTCGCTCTGATAAGTCAGAGTAGGGAATCCGTACAAGGTGTATAAGGTATTGAAAGGGTGGAAAGTATGGGAAAAAGAAGAAATCTTTTCGGTGTCTCGCAGCCGAGTACTCTCGTTTTAATGTCCGTCTCCGAGAATCCTCTTGAATTTTCAGAGCATCACGAGTCCTTACGCGATGACACGTTCACCTTCGGTGACGATGGTGTAAGTTTAATCGCGAATTGCCACTCTTCCTCCGTTGCACTCTCACTCGATCGCGACAGCTCGTCGACGTCGTGGTGGATGCGATCGCGTCATCGTGCACCGTTCGACATCGCACTCTCACCGCGAATGGAACCGGGTCCCGGTAGTCGCCCCGATGAATCCGCTTGATGACACACGGCTCGCGTGACAATGACACTGTCGTCGTTTTGTCGTCCTCGTCGTCGTCCAAGTCGCCGTCGTCGTGGTCGTTATTGTCGATGTCGTCGACGTTGTCGTCCTTGTCGTCCTCGTCGTCCTCGTCGTCGTCGTCGTCGTCGTCGTCGTCGTCGTCGTCGTCGTCGTCGTTGTCGCCGGGAGGACTCTCTTGTGTCGCTCTTCGCTTATTGGTGGAGAGACGACGACGTCGTCGTCGTTCAAGGATGACTCGGTTCGAACAAATACCGATGAACAGGGTAGATGAACAGGGTTCTACCGGGTGGCAGCTGCGATTCTTAACGATGGATCTCGTCCGCCGAGTGCGCGACTCGCCGACAGCGATGATGACGACTCTGTGAATCGAGCGCGGGCGGAAACTGGCTGCTCGACGTCGGTTGGCCCCGGCTGGCGAATACCATACTCCGAACGCCACATTCGGTACCACGGTCGGTCCTCCTCCACGTTCCTCCGCCTCTCGCGCAAGCTCTCCTCTCTCTGTCTCGCTCCCCTCTCTCTCGCTCCCTCGATTCTTCCCTCTCGAGTTTCGCCAGGTTCTCCGTCCTCGTCCTTCTCCCTACCCACGTTTTGCTTTTCTCCCCCTTTTCCGATCTCGATTGATGTTTCTTCGTAGATTTATTTCACAACTCTTCTTGTTTACTCATCACTTTTTCCCATCTCGTTTCACAGTTTTCCCTCTCTTTTTTTATCTCTACTTCTCCTTTATCGCCTTCTCTCCCTTTTTCCACCCCCTTCTTGCTCTGTCTCTCATCCGCCTCGCCCACTTGCACTCTCTCTCTCTCTCTCTCTCTCTCTCTCTCTCTCTCCCCCTCTCTCTCTCTCTCTTCTGTTGTCCTTTATCACGCGCTATCCCCGTTGCACTCTCCGCCTATCGGAATTCCCAGTCATCTCTCGACCTCAACGCGGGACGCGAAGCAACTACCCTTTTTGCTGCTACTACTGTGAAAGGCGACGACGAGGTGCACCAGCCCTCCTCTCGCCCTTATCGATCACGACGCATGTCGCGCGGATTTACGAAAGGCCTCGTCCCATCCAATTCCCATCGAGATGAGAAAGAAATTTCACTGTTCCCTCCTACTCGTTCTATTTGCTCTTCCGTGTGTGAACTCGACAAAAGAAAGAGATGCACACGGTGGCGGTACCACGCATGGGGGTGGAGTGAAGGGGGGAGGAGACGAAGAGCGTGCGCCGTTATATGTGCCTATCTGTCTACCTGTCTGTCTATCCGTCCGTCCGTCCGTTCGTCTGTCTGTCGGTCTAGATGGTAGCGTGTTACGTGCGTGTACGTACTGCCTGTAAAGCAGCCGTGTAACATATGCGCAAACGTAATCCCGACACGTCGATGTTGGGCGGCTGATAGCCGGCCTCGCACTGCTTCCCCGATATGGCTACGCGTCGTAACAACAGCAGCGGCCCGGCCGTGCGTTCTCCATTCCCCTCACGCCCACCCCGGGGGCGAAAAATCGCCACCCTCTCGTCGTCGACGACCCGGGCGCCGCGCCGCGATGTTACCTGGAAACGCGAGTCCTTGATATAGGGACTCATCCCTTTCCCTAGGAGTCTTCTGTGTGCTTTGTGATCCTTAATATCTTCTACATCCTCTCTATCTGAGGAGGGGATGACACGCAAGAGCAGCTTGTATAAAATATTTCACGGAAGAATAAAATATTGTATTCTTTTATAGAAAGAGCTTTTTTCAAAGACCCACATATTATCGCGAGTTGATATTTTAATAAGGGACGCGTTTATTTGAAGCGTCTGTGATCTGACGGTGTTATATAAGCCGGTTTTTATCACGTTGGGACTAAAAATCATGGGAAACATCGGTTCTTAGCGATGCACGTGTTTCTGTCGATGGTATGCGATACGATTGTCTATTTTAAGTATCATTTGCCTTCTTCCACTTCCGAGAAGGCCGCGAATACGTCATGTATCACACTCCATTTAACCAATCAGTTTGGAAATGCAATCAGTTATCGTGCACTCAGTCCTATACCTACTTGAAATCGCTAACGTAACCTTGCTTCCTTTATACCTGTAGTTCTAACTATATCGAACAGTACAATGTATGTTCAAAGAATATTCGGATTGGCACGTCATTTAAGAAAACATTTGTATTATCCGAAATAATAAATCTGCATTAAATGAAGGACAAATAATTTTTATATTATTTTTATACATTCATCAGAAAAGATTCAAAAGTTAAACGATAACTTAAATAAATTTTTAAAACGTTAAATAAAAACATACTTACAATTGATTCTTTATTTGTTTATATAGTTGTCACGTAATTATCTACGGACTTATCTCGATCAATCCTAAATTTGCAAAAATATATATATGCGTATGAATTATTATATTTGTAGCAAACGAGGAACAAACTATGTTGTATTCCATGATTATTCTCTAACAAAACTTAATTTAATTTAATTTAGTCTGGAACGTTTACGCTTCTCTAATTCGAACGCGAATATGTAACGTCTTATGTCTGGAAACCGATAACGGGAAGAAGGGGCAGAGAGAGGGGGAGAGAGAGAGAGAGAGAGAGAGAGAGAGAGAGAGAGAGAGAGAAACGGAAGCGATGTCCTCAATCGAGCGACGTCGATTCATTGTCTGACGAATGCGATACCGTGACTACTTACAGAAGATATAGGGTGACCGTAAATTTGCGCTCACATTCCATTCTCTTCGAAGAATGCGACGTTCGCTCTTACGTCTCTCAAATATATATCAAGAACGAGGTTAATATATACTTTCTATAAGACTGAAATGACGCATAAAATTCTAATGTCTGACGTAAAGATCACTCGATCGTGAGTCGTCATCCATGTAAAATGTATGACAATACGATTCGATAATGGCGATTATATATTATAGAATCGTAATTATATCATGATAACTTTACGATAATTTTTATACGCCCAGTGAGAAATGACCCATCGAATCGACGTCTAGTTAGACGTCTATAGACGTCGGTAGACGTCGATTCGATGGGTCATTTCTCGCTGGGACGGTATGTATCTTCATTAATAATTTAAGTAATAAGCGTAACGAGTACAATTATCCCACGTAGCAGAGTGACGTCAAATGACGTATTAATAACGTGTTAATGACGTCTCTAACGTCAGTAAAACATTATTAAGACGTCTTTAGACGTCATCCTGCTACCTGGGATTCTTAATAAATAATAATTTTTTTACACGCAGTTACGCGCTTGTGTCTTATTTACATTTTCCCACTTGTTAGAGCAAACGTGAACTTTCCGTGAAGTTCAAAATGACAGGATAAATTGTAAGGTAATCCTGTTGCTCGTAAGAAAACGCAAAGTTCACCGAGGGCGGAAGTATATATCGCGATCAGTATATACAGAAGTGACGCTCTCTCATTTTAATTCATATCGCGATAGCGTCTAAGAGGCTTACTTGCATGGTTCTATTTCTGTCCGGTCCCTCCTAAGTCCTACGTTGCACGGATAATTAGTTTTGCAAATACACATCATCCGAAGGCGAGCGCAATAACATAATCGCATAACGCTTTTATTTGTGGAGAAGACGTGCGAACCCTCGCTCGGCTCGCCCCGCAAAGATCACCCGCGCAACGAAACTTTCAAAGTGCAAGATTGTACTTGGGGCGACATCTCGCGGCTCGCGGCGCTTCTCGATAGCTGCGTTCGAAAAACCCGTCTCTAGATGCGCCACGCCGTTTTAATTTATTTAAAGAAACGCGTGTTTTTTCTATCTGTATGTTTGCGCATCACGATTTGGTTATTCGAGAAATATTATTATTAGTTATTATAACTCTTTCAAAATTAGTATGTCAGATTACAAAGTGTTACTTCTAGCTGCTTGGAAATGACGTTGCTTGGTTTCTCGAATAATCAACAGTCGTTGATGAACGTTATTTATTAAGACGGAAAGCATGCGCTTGGACATGCTTTTGTCAGACATAAACATTTTGATTATTTATAATTCCATACATATCTCTAGCTAGTTGAACGCAATTGAAACTGTATTCGATAGTCTAATAGCTATTAGATGTGTTTGACAGATAATATATTTAATTAGTATTAGGCGGTAAAACGGACTTTTGCTTTCAGACGATAATCACAATGTTATTATTAAATTATTTGAATAAATTTTAAAATAAGGGATATATCTAAATTCGATGCATTCAATCACTATGACGAAATTAACATATCAAACAATACCTTTTTAAACGATGCCATTTGGTTATAATAATACCATAGTATTTGAGTAGAATTATTAATTTTCTATAGTATTTTGCAAAGGATTTTTAATTTTTCGTCGTTTGACTGTAGGCGATCGACTCCGATTGAATTAATCGCCAATCGAGTTTTAATCAGAGATTTAGGTCGGTTATTAGTCGCCTTCGGGGTGAAACCGAATACGAGGACGACGGATAAAACTTTTATCATCCCGACATCCCGAGTCTCCGCGAGGAGATTCTCCCCGCGGCTGTCAGATACCGCCGGCCGCGGCGCGGAGCGCGGAGGGAGTATCGTTTCTTTTTTCCGCCGTGTTCGCGCCGCGACGCCCGCGCGACTCGCAGCCTCGATGGATCGACTGGATCGACAGTCCGACAGATCGTTCCGATCATTCGGCGGTATCGATCGGCGTGCGTCGGGTGCAGCAGGTGCAGCCTGTCATATTTACTGATCCTCGCTCGGGACTCGGGACTCTGGATATTCTCCGGACTCTCCCTCGGGAATCGCGGCCATCGCGTCGCGCGACGACGGAACGTGTGTTATCCCACGATTGACGATTGTTCGTGCAATCGCGTCGAGCCCGCGTCGTCGTGTCGCGGTGATTCCATCGCGATCATCCCACAGGAGGCTCCTCCTCCGTCGGTCCGTCGTCTCCTCCTTTTTCCACGGGGTAACCAAGCACCGCGGGGGGCCATTTTTGTCCGCCTCCTGGATTCTCGAGGGCCAGACGTGCCTGTCCCGCGCGATTCGCGATGACGGAGACGAACAGCGCCGCGAATCTCAACACCAAGAACGGCAACTTCATCTGCGGCGTGGTGGAAGGTACGTACGTGGTACGACCGGAGCCCCGCACGACACTTGTCGGGAATGTAACCCAAACGCGCCTCTTATGGTATGACATTCGCGTCCTTTGCCCCCCAGGCGTGTAACACATTTCATCGTTCGCAGGTTTCTACGGACGACCATGGACCACCGAGCAACGAAAGGATCTATTCCAAAAGTAAGCCCGCATTGTAAACGCATTTTTAGTCATTCTTTTTATGAAGTGCGAGGAATATCATTTTTCTTTCACTCTCTAAATATATTAATTTCTCCTATCCATCGTGAACATTACATTAATACATAATTATATTAATGATAATTGTTCATTAATTATAAATTATGCTTATTTCTAGGTTGAAGAAATGGGGAATGGACTCTTATCTGTATGCGCCAAAGGACGATTACAAACATCGCGCTTATTGGAGGGATCTGTATACCGTAGAAGAAGCCGAACATCTGACTGGTCTAATTACAGCTGCTAGGGAATACGGGATAACATTTTACTACGCATTATCCCCAGGATTAGATATCACGTATTCCAGTTCGAAGGAAGTCACTGCATTGAAGAGAAAACTGGAGCAAGTCAGCCAGTTTGGTTGTACAGCATTTGCATTGTTATTCGATGATATAGAGCCAGAAATGAGTGAAGCTGACAAAGAAGTGTTTCAGTCTTTCGCACAAGCACAAGTATGTATATAGTGTTTGTAATATTTATGTAATGTTAGTGATTTTGCATGTATGTCAGTTTGTTGTTCCCAAAACGAGTTATAATTTATTTCATTTCTCTCAATAAAAAATTCTTTGACTTTTCGATCTACCTTTTATAAACTAATACATATAGAATGAAGATTGGAGTCCAGCTCACAACCCAAATATGAATTGATTGCTCTCATACAGAGTCATGTGTCATCCCACATGATGCATTGAATCTTATATTGTTCTTTTTTTTTTATTTATAGGTTTCTGTCACAAATGATATTTTTCAACATCTTGGTCAACCTCGTTTTCTTCTGTGTCCCACGCAATATTGCGCAACGCGCGCGATGCCAAATGTCGCGTCTTCGGAATATCTCAACACTCTTGGAAGTAAATTAGCTCAGGAAATTGACATAATGTGGACTGGACCTAAAGTCATATCGAGACTTTTAACTGTCGAGTCCATCGAAGAAATCACAGAAGTGCTCAGGAGACCACCTGTTATCTGGGATAACTTACATGCCAACGACTACGATCAGAAGAGAGTGTTTCTTGGGCCGTATTCTGGTCGTTCTCCTGATCTTATACCTAAGCTCAGAGGAGTTTTAACTAATCCTAATTGCGAATACGGAGCGAATTTTATAGCAATTCATACATTGGCTCAATGGAGCAGATGTAATGTGGATGGAAAAAGAGACCTAAGTCTAAGTAAGATTTTCGCTATATTTTCTTTTATAGATTTTTTCCATCTTTTGTAAGATAAACTTCTAAGAAATATCGCGAGAATGATTAGACTTGAAATTAAATTCGAATCTTCTGCTTTTCGGCCAATTGCTTTATACATTTAACAGTCAAGTACCAATAACAGAAATTGCTAAGACTTATTCTATATTGTAGATGATACTGTATCAGCAGACATTAAATTAGAAACCGAGACAGAGGATGGCGTTCTCGGTGAAGATGTTCCGTCAACATTATCGCCGAATATGTATCATCCTCGACAGGCTCTGAAAAATGCGATAAGCGAATGGTTGTTAGAATTCAACAAGAAGAAAGCAGCTTGGGGGGTAATAGCCAAGCCGCAGCCATGTGTCGCTCCTACGATACCTATCCCAATAATTCCCTCCGTGAACACGTGTATGAGTCTTACGTCGACGACAACCACCACAGTTTCTGCCACACCCACGCCTGTGGCGAATTCTAATCATCTTCAAGCATTAGCCGAAGTTTGCTCAAGTGTAACAGGTAGCGATAGTTTCATACCTCCGTCTGGGCCTGTGATGAATTCTCTAGTGTCAGACATAAAGGTGATCAGCGAGCCTGTCCTGTCTACGTTATCCACCTCAACCGGATTGTCTTCTATAGAACCTATGGACTGTAATACGACTCCAAATAACTCGCCGGCGCATATAGCAAAAATTCCAGCGGAGGATGACGCTATGGTAGATAACACTTCTGTAAGTCGTTAAAATTTTAGTGGATTTAATTATGCATGTATAAACGTGTGATTTCTATTTGCTAGACATGCAGCGAAGCTTCCGGAAGTATGCAAGTAGAAGTGGACGGCACTTCTCCAATGGTCAATGGTACACAAATGATTATAGAGAACGATAGCGAAAATCATGAGAGTTCCGATAACGCGGATGTGGTATCACAGGAACCTGTGGATATCGATAAACAACTCACACATGAGGATCTATCGCTCTTATGCGATCTATTTTACTTGCCGTTTGAGCATGGAGGTCAAGGAATTCAATTGTTACAAGAATTTAATTGGTTGAAGAGCAACGCTTATGTTGTTATGAAGAAGTCCAAGGAAGAAGATCCAACGTCTGAGTCAGACGTGAGTTGCATTGAGAAGAATTTTATTTTGACAAGTTTGATGACATATGATAAATGGTTTCAGATTGAAGAATGGCATCTTCGTGCCGCTAAATTGAACGACATATGTAATGCGGTAAATAGATTATTCCAAAGACTCACATACTGTAATAATCGTGAGTTATTGTACGATCTGTACTCGTACGTATGGGATATGAGGGGAGTTGTTTCTCTTCTAAATAGTTACGTGAAATGGCTGGGTAAGTTGCATTTGATTCATATATGAGATATTTTCTGATATATTGACATTATTAAAAAATTGACGTTAAAAATATCTCCAAACAGTTTGTTTTCTAACAAGTAACAAATAAAATTAGATTATAATAGTAATGAGAATGATTCACAGTAAAAATAATTGATATAATTTCTGAAAACTTTAAGTACGCTTGTATTTATAAATTTGAATTATTATAATTAAAGTAATCTTTAATTTTACAAAATTCTTATTTAATTACTATTTTCTAACGTGATATATATTAATTCTTGTCAAATATCAGGAATATGTATGAATCAAGATAAGAATTTTAATAAATATACATAGTCTTGCTATTATTTTTATTATATATAAAGAAAGTCTATTTGAAATGCTAGTATGCTGGTAAAAATATGCAAGTCAATGATATTACTAATTTTTTAAATTCCAAATATATATATTTATTGTGTGCTCTAATAACAATCTGTCCAAATAATCAATTATTTCATATAAATATTAACCTTTTCGATATTAGATTCAATCCAATTTCTTAAAATTATATTCATTGTACTGCAGACAAGTGCTGTTGTTGACTTCTCTTAGAAATATTATAATTTATTACCTATACTTATATTTCAGAACAAAAGTGTCACGCGTATCGGTAAGTGAACGTTATCTTATTTTTTGTTATATAGTTCTATCTTTTTACAAGGAAAGTCTCTTCTTTTTACTGATTTGATTAAAGATAGAACGTACTGCATTTCTCTTATGCTTTGTCAAGATACGATCATTGTCAAAATTATTATCAAAATATAATTGAATTGTTAAATATTAGTCCTACATGAAGTTTGTTGCAGAAATTTTAATGTTAAATACAATATATTAATTATTTATATATAATTTATATTTATATATACGTATATAATATATTTGGTATTAAAAATGTTATAATACTAGTATAATATTTCTGTCAGACTTGTCAGACTAATACACGATAATTGTTATATTTCCTTGTAAATTGATGTTAACTGACGCTGCGCAATCTTTTTTTTTTTTTTAATATCTGCTCTTTGAAATCCGTAAATTACTGATTCATAAATAATTCCACATAATTTTACACAATATATTTGATGTCACTTATGTATATCAAGCAAGAAAACTTAATTGCTTTTTGTTTAAACAATATCTAGTTGTTTTGGAGATATCTAACAATTTTGAAACATTTTTTTCTTTGAAAAACTTGTTCAAAAAGATGACAACTGTAGTGAAATAGTATTAACAGTAGATTTCTTCTGCTTATTTATCGTGTTTATAATATACTAAGTAATATAATTTTCAAACTTTGTGCATAATATTAAGTAATAAAGATTATCAGTAATATTCGGAAGTGTCACATGTCACAAATTGTATATTCGTGAACTTAGTGTGCATTTGTTTCTGCGCATTAGAGATAAATGCATCGCATTTACGCGCGTAGAGAAAACTTTGCCATAAGTCAGAAAAGTTACATAAAAAATACATGTTTCTACTTATTAAATGCTTTTGAAGACAGAGTATGTGAGTAGACAGAAATTAAATAAAATTTATTATAATACACTTGCTACAAATATGCATATACAATTGATACTTGTCTCAATTTTAAGATATATATATAATCGTTGTTTTTTACATTTTTATATCTTTCTAAAAACGGTTCTGACTAATGGCCGCTGGCTAAAATTTATTTTGACGATTTTTATGTAGGCAAGCCACAACATCTATTTTTCTGTTTAATAAAATTTATATTACTGCAAATATATAATATAGGATTTTTATCTTTGTGCTTAAAATTGTTTAATCTAAATCTAACTCATAAATGGTATACGTCTGATTGAAAATGTGAAATAAATTGATGTGGCTTTCCCATGCAATGGCGAAAAGATCATTTGTAGCAATGGCAAAAACGGTGATTCTATGAGATGACATTCAACAGCATCTTTATGGAGGTGAACAAATACTGGATTTAAAAGCAATCTTATACCAGCTATTAACGTATCAATCGACTTTCTTTACAGATAACATGAAACAGGAGTTTGTTTTCTATATATAAATTTTTATGCAATAACGTATTAAAATCCAAATTAGAAATTGTACATATATGTATATTATACATGTTCTTCTCTAAACATATTTATTCCAATCGAAATTGTATATGATTTAAGATCTATAGCGAATATTCTCCTGTGGAAATGTAAATGTATCAGGATCAGTATAGCTTTGGTTCATTCACTAACTCGCATTTCTGTGTTTTTTTGTCTTGTTGATAGCGTTTGGCAGATTCCCATCGACGATGACGACGTTTACCCAGGGCAGCTACACATGTATGCGGTTTAACAGTCTTTGAGTAACACGGCGGAAAGCGCGCGAAATAATAAAGTTTCAAACATTGCAGTGATAGTTGCATTTCTAAATTTTTGTTTGGGACTTTACAAAAAATATTGTCTCGTTTAACACGAGCGAGAAATGTGTGCATATCTATAGAAGCAGCGTTGCAACAGCTTGAAAAATCAATGTGTACAAAGCACATTTATTTTCGCGGTTCGCTATGTGATGGACATACTTCCTATATATCGCAAAGATTGTAGATATATATATATCTACGTCCACGTTTAATTCTGTTATTTTACTAAAAATATATATGTGATACACTATACAATGTCGTTTCACAATCTGTTGCATACACATGTTAAATTTTGTGATGATTTTATTTTTAGTATTAATATTTTGTGTTATTTGTAGAATTATTTTTTTGCGTCTATATAATAATTCATATTGAGAAATGAATTATTTTGAAAGCTCTTTTTCTATTAGATTTTATAAATATATACTTGAAAAAACGTGTGATCGAAATGATCTAACACTCATATATCGATTTTAATACATTTTTGCGTTTCTGAAGTAAGTCCATCAAAGAATTACGTAGAATTGGCACAATTTAGTAAACAAGAAGTTATAAACTCTTGAATGTCTCCCTGCAAATCGTGATCTTTGATCATTTGCGATAAAAGATACTTTTCCGAGTCTTTTGATTTGCGAATATGACGATGTCTTGTGGATTAACAATGGTATTACGACATGCAAAAATATCTATTCTTTTTTTTATCTTAAATGATCAATGCTCCTACGCTCCTTTTGCCAACTTGCCTGCACTAATTTGTTTTACTTAGTTTCAGAAACTATATTCTTTTCAGGCGTGATAAGAAATTTTATTTCAGGCGCATATTGGCAAACTGGACTATTATTCCACTTTTCCTAGATTCCACTTTCCTATCCTAATCCAGTGTTTCAAGAGTTTAGCATTGCGCGAGCTTTGGTGCAACATCTATGAAATTTAATTTTTTTCTCTATTTACTAATATCGGTTTCTCTGGAATAAAATATAATATTTAGTTACGGTAACAATGTAATATTTAGTTACAGTAACAATTAAAATTTCTTAAAATATTATATATAGATTTTCAGCTTTATATTATACATTGTTAAAAGAAAGTATATCCATTATAAAATTTACTCTCTATCTGTATAATATTTATTTTGAATCTGTAAAAATTGGTGCACCTTAGTTATCCGATTGGATGAATCATTCTTTTTCTCATACTCTCATTGACATGGAGCGGAACAATTCCGAAATAAATGAGAGAAAGAAAGACATTTCCAATCGACTTGTACCTTTGCATGTTAAAGATTTAAGCAAAATTGATGCCCAGAGCAGTGGAAGCCAATTGAAAGTAAACTACACGCATAGCGCGCGAATGTAATTCCAGCATTTCGTGATTTATTAAAAACAATTCTGTGTCTTGGGATAGGGTTTTCAAATGGTTGGAAAGAAACATTTATGAGTGGAGACCAGGAGCCATGGGTTTTTCGTGGTGGACTTACGGCTGATTTACAGGTATATTTAATTTCCTTGCATTTGTTTATGTTTGACTATAAAAATGATACATTGCAGAACATTATTTTTGTGTGTTTAGAGATTAATTCCAGTTGATAGTGGCAATGATTTGTTCGTCTATAAAGCACCGGAAGTGCCCAGTAGTAAGATATATACAATTCGGCCATACTTACCGAGTGATGAAGAAGCGGTTTATGCGGTGTGCAATCAACTGAATAATTGTACAACTTCATCAGCTGTAGCAGACAGGTGTGTATAATATTAACATATTATTTTCTTATTTTCTTGAAGAAATTGTTCTGAATATCTATCTATCTAGACTCATCGGAGGATTTCTAACATTAAGTCCGGAGTTATGTATGGTTGTTGAGGATGAAAATGGTGTAACGGGCTACGCAGTGGCTACGCTGAATGTAAAATCCTACAATCAGAAAATGGCTGTTTCCTCGATTCCTGAACTGCGAATGAAATATCCCTTAGACAATAGCATTAGCGAGCTGCCACAAAATGTTCAGGTATGGGAGGGTTAACGATTTTACCTATATCTGTATTTTATATGTTTACCATCGTACTGACTATTTTCAAATAAAAATTGTAGGATGCTATACAATACTTTCATTCATTTATTCCGGATGTGTCGGAACAATTGTGCAGACAACATCCGTCGAAGCTTATATGTGGTATATTGCCAAGTGTGACAGATCAGTCTATTTGTAAACGTTTAATAACCTGCGTTCTTGCAGCTTTAAGAGCAAATGGTACGTATTTTACTGATTTAAAACATAATGAAATAGACTACTCGATCTCTATTGAAAATTAAATTATGTATACTTGTTCCTAATATAATTAAATATTATTTGATGTTATACTTTATATTGCAAACATAGGTAAATATATAAGTGTATTTGTGGAATATGTTTTGTGGGATAGGTTCTTTCGGAGTACACACAACGATGTCGTCAACGGACAAAGAATCTCACGAATTCTATGGCAAGCTAGGCTTCGTTGATTTAAATCCGGCGCATGAGGAATATCCTGCAATTAAAACTATGTGTAGAAGTTTCTAACAGAGAATTAATACTCCAATGATCCTCGTCAACAAAGTGTATCTACTTGGACCATCTCCCGGGAAAACAACGGTTTCTTAGGATAACTCCTAAAACACAGAAGCTAGTAATAAATTTGAACGCCTTTATTCAAGACCTTTTTAAACGTAACCTGCAAACGCGATAAGTGTACTTTTTGGAGAATGTTCGTACACTTGAAAACATTATTTCTAATATATTCGATATAATCTTTCTTATAGTATCGAAATCTTTAAATGTATTTGATACGAATGTACACATATGTATATAATAATTAATGCCAAGTTTTAATATTATAGTAATACTTCTATTAAAAGGAGATGAATAAGCATAATTATATTAAAAGAAGATGTATAAGTATAATCAGATTCGTTTTCAGTTCAACATGAATTATATTCTTTACTTTGTTAACACACAGTTATGTTTATTATATTATTAAAATATATATATGTATTACTATGCCATATAACACTTCATGTAGTATCTCATTGGTTTAATTCTAATTGGATTCCTTCTCAAACATACCCCGTGTTCCTTTTTTACTGGAAGTGCTGAAAATATATAGTTGGCGTCACGTAACTATAGATTTTCAGTACTGGCAGTGAATATAGGAACACGTCCATAGTATGTATATACAATTTTCAATATGTGCGTGATGAAATGCCAGTGTGTTCATTAATGAGTTGGAACTTTATTTAAGAAAAGTATTTTCTTATCGAAATGATATGTATGAATGACTGAATATAGTTTTAAAGTGCATTTTTTTTTAAATGCGCTTTAAAGTTTCTTTTAAATAAATGTAAGAAATGAGTGTGAGAAATTATGACACAATTTAGATTTTAACTATGTAGTCCTAATCTATATCTGATAATCAGATGTATATTATGTATGAATAAGTTTCGTAGTATTCACTGCTCAACTACAAGCTTGTAATATACATTGAAATCTACAGCAGTAAGGTATTTTAGGTTTCATGTACACGTATATATAATCTCACATATATAATTTTTCTTATGGATTACTTTAATTGGCTCTACAAATGTATGTATATATCTCTTATGTAATGAATAAAACTACGAAACGATGTGATGTTTTCTTTCTTAGACATCTAAAAAAGAAAATATTACTTTGTCGTAATCCATTGTTATTAGACATAAACAAGATATATGTTAGATGTTCTTTTTTATATTAATTATTCCATACAGACATTACTTTAAACAATTTAGAAGTGCACTATTAAGTATCATAGAACGTATTAATTGCTAGAAAAAGAACTTTTTATCTTAACTTTTATCTTAATACAATAAGCGAATACAAAATTTAAAGCGCAATGTCGTAATAAGAACAATAACGTGCATTATATATGTATGTAAAAAATATTTGAGTGATTTACTTCTTATGTCTCTACGAAGGTATTAATAAATTCACCATTAACTGTACAAGTTAAATATATTAATGTATGAAGTGTATAGAATTAATATAAATAATAACGTACAAGATTAAAAAAAATTAATCATAAAAACTTATATAGATTATTTGCCTTACATGTATTGTCAGTACTGACATAATAATAACTTACTGTGCTATTTAAAATAGTTTTCCAAGAATTTTGTGCAGTACCTTCAAACGTTACTACAAAGCTTCATTGAGTGACACGTACAAAAAGAAAAGAAATACATCCTCACAGATTTATATGCTAGATTTTACTTGTACTTTGATGGTAATTGCTTTTAGAACTTTTGTACTGAATATATTTGATAATGGAGTAAAAAAGATAGAATGCACTGGCAAGGAAACTGGAAAGGACACCAATTTTTTAAAGGATTCTTACCGTTATTTTTGAAATACGTATAATACATCTTTTAATAACTTTATATCTTGTTTCATTGTTGATATTACGCGCTTTCTATATATATATATATATATATATATATATATATATATATATATCTGATACATCCAAGGAATATTCCATTCCAGTTTTTTATTATGCATGAAAAGCTCATTTCTTCTCCAATTACCTTGACATGTGCTAGCGAGACTGGGCGTGAAATTAATATTGTAATACATACGATATAATATTGTTTTATTTAAATAAATATTTCAAGAAACATTGAGTTTTTTCTTAAAATTTTCATAAAAAATAGAATCAAAATAAAAAAATATTAAGATGAATTATTTGGAGAATTCATTGGAGTTGATATAATTTCGTTGTATCTTCTTAGATTGTGTACTTCCTTTTGAAAATGTGACAGCTACGAAATAAATTAAGACAGTAATTTTAATTTTCGTTAATAAACTTTAACCGAAATAATGTAGAATTATACCTTTTCAATTTCAGTTTGGAGATATTTTTGTTTAGATTTAGGCGTCAATATTTCTGAAGATTTTGTAATTTCGAGCTTTTGCAGGAATCCTGTTAATTCTTCAATCTTTCGGTTTATATTTCTGGAATGCGATGAGTAATGTTTAAAGTTACACATTGACATAGGCCTGTATTCTCAGTTCACTTTTTATCGAGAAATGCGCGCATTTATGATAAAAGTGAATTGAGAATTTAGGCCTTATTCTTTATACCCTTGATAAAATGCAACATTATTCATTCGAACTTACATTGATCTTAATTTTTCCCGTTTATAATTATCTGCATCTCCCTAGATTGCACAATAAAAAGAAAAAAATTCTCATTGACTTTCCATTTTAATATTTTCAGACAAATATGCATATTAAGTTATCATACCGCATTTTGTGTACGTTTTCGAATTGTAGGGTAATCTTCAATGTCGATTGCGAATGGAATATCATCTAATAAATAAATATTTTACATGATGTAATATAATAAAATATTTTATTATAATACAGTCAAATTTTCATATTTTGTACTCATGTTCCAATAAGTAAAAAATATGAAAGTTTAATTATAAATCCCAATTTTTACTGCATGGGGAGAGTTATTTGTTATATACCTTCATTTCTCCTCGATATTTTTTCCATGCTTTTATTGAAGCTTCGTTTGTCACGTCTCCATTCTTTTACAGTGTCCAAATCCCTACGTATTATATAATACAGTTCATGCGTACTGTTTACAATTAATAAGAGCACAATTTAAATAGTTGCCTTACTTAATTTTTTGAATTGTTGCTGATTGTGCGCTCAGCAAATCTCTCGCTTTAGAAATCCATTGCAGTCGTTGTTCCATGATCATATTAGTACCTTTACCTTCGCATCTAAATGCAAAATATTGATCGCATTTTTTACATGTAATTATAAGAAGATAATTGATTCATTTTGCATACATTTTTTAAATTTCCGAAAAAATTAGCCTAATAAATTAAAGCCTAACCAATTATTTATTAATTTATGAAACATAATAGCATTTAACTAATACTATTATTAATATTTTATTATTATCAGTAAAAATATAGTGTGATATATAGTTAATATCTAATTAGCTTTTTTGATATCGAGATAATTCTCCAAACACGATATCATGCTGCACGAGTCTTTCAGCTCCATCGGCCGCAGCTGCATTCTTCGCATGTCTTTTGTGACAATATCGAAAACCAGCTCCGGATGTTTAACATTCTTACATTTCATTTTTTTCTCGTTATTCCTTGCTGTGGAATAATACGACTTTGCGAGCGCGATGTGTTTCGTCTCGTTACTAATTGTCTTAATTCGACATTCCTTTTCGCGATAATGTTTATATGTTATTAATTCTGCAATGTTTTGTCTAACGTAACATGATCTGGGCGACGGTCCGGTTAAGTGCAAGATTTTCGCATCTACCTCGGCGATCTCTCCCTTGATGCAAGTTTTCTTGACATCGTGACACGAAGCTATCATTTTTAAAAATGCGTGCTGCTTATCGCATTTTTCATCCTGATTATAGTTTAGCTCATCGTTACTCTCATTCTCCTTCTTATTACTCTCGTCTTTGCATCGAATAGCAGGAAAATTTCGTGCGCACGATGCGCAAAGAGAACCCGCTGGACTATTGTTACGTGTATCGCTGATATAACTGTTTGCTAAATTCTTCAGAAAAGCGTCATTATGCGTGTTGCTATACCTGTTGCTGGGCTTGTAACCTCTACTTTTCTTTCTGATCGCAGAGCCTTTGAACGAACCGCCGATGTCGTTCGCGCTTTTCGATATTCGCCGTGGAACTTTTGATAATTTCCACCGTTTTTCACGCGGAGACCGATAAGCCAAGATCGTTGATGCCTTTGGTTCAATTTTCTCTAAAATAAATTTGATTTAATTTCGATCAATACACTGATGATTATTGCAGTTTGTTTTGCTAGTTATTTCAATAATTAATTAATTAAAATAAAATCGTTGATATATGTATGATTGTAGTGCGTGACAGAGTTGCAATAGCTGAATGCGCAAATTTGAAATTCTTACGTTCTACGAATGTCACGGGCTCATTCGGATGCAATTTATTCCATTCAGACCGGAGATAACTGAGAATGCTCGAACATCCGAGAGCTATAACATCCTTTGGAGGTGCAGTGATAGGATTATGTGCTACATTGAGGGTTTTAAGTTTCGGCACCAGGCCTATAATGAAAATTCACAGCTATTACATGTATATAAAAAAATAACATAGTTGATAAAGTAATTATATGACTCCTTACAAAGTTACTTACAAAGTTCTAATGGCAATTTCTCGATTTTATTTCCTTGCAACAAGACAGTTTCTAGTGAAGAATGTGATTTAATACTCGTAGGTAGACTTGTCAATAGATTATTTCGAACGTCCAGCCACTGTAAATGTTGTAGGGAAACGAAGAGCTTTTCGGGAAGCTCGGTGAGATTGTTATCTTCTAGGTACAGCATCTAAAATTGAATAAAATTAAAATTTATCAAAATTTAACATACAAAATGCAGAAAACAATGATATAAAAGTGACGTTGCAGGAATCAGATAAAATCTGAATTTAAATCTTGTAAACGTTTATTTTTTTTTCATTTAAAACAGTATCCACATTGCGTGCGCGTACTTGTATCGCAGGATATTTTTCAATCGCTTCGATAGGGAGTGATGTGAGACCGGTGCTTGTTAAATCTACAAAAGTCTCAGTGTATAACGGAGTCCTATTTGGCGGCGGTGTTGAAGGCGGAACAAACGTAATCGCAGATTTCTCCGTTTTCTTCTTCCCTGCTATTGAAGAAATGTCTGAAGCACTGTCCGGCAATATATCTTCACTAAGCGAGAGATACGAATCGTTCCCTTCGTTGTCTTCCAGACCTTTCCATATAATGAAGACACATATTAAAGCACGTACTCAAATTTTATATTTTTGACCTACATCTTATACTACCTAGAGTGGAGGCAGCCTTGCTATATATGGCAAAATCCTGTGTCTCTTTGCCGGAGGAGGCACACGTATTTTCATATAAATTGCCAGCAGTATTTGCTTCGAAAATAATATCGAATTCGGACGATGTTTCTTCATCCTCTTTGTCTTCGAGCGCTTCCCATTTTAACGCTCGCGAGGATCTTGCTGGAATATCAATCTCGGAATTCTCTTCCTCGTTCTCAATATCATTTTCCTGCATGCATAAATGTTAAGGTACTATTTACACATGTATATACATATATAAATTTTGAAGCAAAATCGAAACGTAAGCCTCTCTTCTCATGTTTATCGCATGTTTCCTAATAAATGATGTGAATCATACTTTCACACAAAATATAGTTTATTTTTATTACAAATATTTTCAAATTCTAGGTTTTAATTAAATTAAATTGAACAGTAAAGCATTTAGATTTTTTTTTAATTTAATTTAGTCGAGTGATACTTTTTAATTTATCCGAGCATTATACGCGGTATAATGTCAATTACAGCAGCAGTAATAACATTTCAATTATTAAAATCGAAAAGTGCGATATCTATATTACTCCTGTTTGTCACAAACAATCAATTGTATTGTTTATTTCACTGTTATTTATAAAGAATAAATGTCAGAATCATATTGAAATTCACACCTGCACCCCCGTTTCCCTGGATGTGTCATCGTCGTTCGTTTCCACGGTCGATTGCTCGCCGATCAGTTTATCCGAGTCGTTCTCTACGCTGCCCACGCATTCCTGGATCGATAAAAATTTTTCAGCTTTTGGACCCTCGAAAATTCCGTAATATTGCGCGAGGAGGCTTTCCGCGATGTCTCCGGACATATCGAGGATAAACGATGTGCACCGTGTGCACGCAAGGAGATTAATATTCGACAGCGATTTGAGCGACTACAAACTACAATAACCCCTTTGTTTATTTGTCGCCTAGGTGATTCGACATCTTTGCGTACTTGCACTTAATAAATAGAAATCTACTTCCAGGATCTTATAATAATCTATTCCCCTCTCCCCAAACTCACTCATTAATTAGGAGCACTAACAGAACCCCATAAAACCCAATTTTCAACCCCATAATAATAGCCATTTCCATAAAATTAGTAATCTTTTGGTACCAATTTCATCAAAATCATCAACAAAAAATTAGAAAAATTTTGGGCACTGGTTTCAAGAAAGTCGATCCATTAATACAAAATTATCCATTAATAAATAATTAATCGTATCCTCCAAAAATTAAAACAAAATTTGGTACTGGTTTCGAGAAAATGGGTTAATTAATACTTATTATTTCTTGAAATTTGAATAATTTTCAAACTGGTTTCCAAAAAATCGGTAACGAAAAATTATCCATAAAAAAATTCAGTTTGATACCTCAAAGTTTGCGGAAATTGGAACAATCACGTACACTTTTTTTAAACAGAAATCGGCAACTCTTTTAATATTAACAATTTTTCTAATTTTATTACATTCTTTAGTTCTTTCTACCCCTATTTCATATATAATTGTTTAAGATTTAAACAATTATTTCCCAAAAAATTTGAAAAATTTTGGAACCGGCGGTTTCCAAAAAATCGGTAACAAAAAAGTAAAAATAAAAATAAAAATTATTTAAAAAATTTAGCTTGATATCTCAAAATTTGCGAAAATTAGAGTAATCACGTACATTTTTTTAAACAAAAATTTTAAACCTTTTTATTATTAGCAATTTTTCTAATTCTATTACATTCTTTAGTTATTTTTTTTTCTACCATTACTTCATATACATACAATTCTTTAAGATTCAGGGTGCCATTACATGGAGCGCGGAAACGCGGAAACGCGGAACAGAATAGTAACTAGATTCCGCGTTTCCGCGATTTGAGTCCCGCACGTTTGAACGGAAAAGCGGAATCCGCTATTATCGTGTATGTATGTACCCTGGCTTGCATATAAGATACTTCATAATAACCATCAACATGATGTTTGGATCTATAATATTGTACTGCCACTTTTATAAAATAATAAAAGTAATCGAAGTATGTAAAAGCTTTCCTTTTCAATGTGATTAGACAGCTCCAAAATTTGATGGAGTATACTGTATCCGCGTTGACAACGGATTTTGACGCGTTCATTCCGCGAGCTTGTTTCTCCTTATATTACATGGAGCACAATTTGCGCGAAAAAGCGGAACAGTATAGTGACAAATAAACATTTATATCACACGTGCGTGGAAAGTGGCCCATTACGCGCGCGCCATCTGTGTGACAAATAGCCAATTCCATACACGAGTCAAAACAGTGCGGTAATGTAACATTACCGCACTGTTTCTTTCGAAACCATATATACACACTTGTTGAAGTTAACAAGAATTTTGTTATCTTTCGGTGTATTTTGAATGGGTACTGATGATAAAAGAATTCCTTCTACCATGTCCAAATAAACGTAATGATACAAATAATTTTTATCGCCTGCTGTTAGCTTTTGCCGCCTTTGCGGTATCAAATATTCCGCTTGGTTTAATAAGTTATCTCGTATCTTGGATATATCCATTGTATGCGTTACTATCGCTCTATAAGAAAAAAAGTATCGGTAAATATATTAGTATTAAGTTTGTTGACAGATAATGTGGGACAGTTCAATGCTACTCCGAGTTCCCGCGTGAAGTTCGACGAGGAGGACTATGGCTGCATTCGAGAAGCGCGCTATTAGCGCTATTGCATCATTCTGTCTTTATTGCTCATCAGATGTAAAACAAGGATAGAATAAGCAAATAGCGCTAATAGCGCGCTCCCCGAATCCAGCCAACAACGGTTCTGTGCTCTGTGACAAGTACCTGCCGGACGAAGTGCTGATAGAGATATTCTGCCACGCCGACTGTAAGACCTTGTTGAGGTGCCAGTTGGTATGCAAACACTGGAAGATGCTAATGAACCAAGTGTAGCACAAGAAGACCGAATGAACGCTGGGCAACCGGTCCACGCTTCGTGCATGCGAGATAGTATACGGTCCAGGGCATCTTATCGACGGCCCTGGACAGTATACTATCTCGCATGCGCGAAGAAGCCCTACGAGAGGAACCTGATGAAGAATCATTCCGGCGCGGAGTATTCGGATCACTGGGATATAATTTGGGAGAGCGGCTATGGTCGGATGGTCGAGGAACCACCTGCCGGCATGCCGGAACTGCCGCAAACTAAACCGCTGTTCAAAGACAGACGGATCTGTTTCACAACGTCTTATTTTTATTGCACCAAAGTACAAGGTATAATTCTGACGAACGAGGGAATTCATTCATATATTCTGGACACTTTATCAACCACCTATAGAGGTATTGCCAAGTTTTATGTGATGGAAATTATATATAGGAATTATATATAATTGTGGATTATATAATGTCATGTATGTATACGTTCATTTATATCATCCACTTTCATATTTTTTCGAATACATGTATGTTATGTGAGCTTGATATTTTGTTTTTATAATTTATAGATTTATACAATCTTTTTAAATAACCTGCCTTAATTATTTTATTTATTTTGAGACATTTGTTATCAATATTCAAATTACGGAATACGTACGCTTCGCGAATAATCGATTCTCGCGACGCTAGAAATGGCCGCATTCAGGAAACACAACTGTTGAGTGAGCGGTCAGTGATTCTTTAATATGATTGGTTTTACTCCGGATCTAAGTGTAAGAACCAATCATAATGAGCGCTCACTCAACAGTTGTGTTTCCTGAACGCGGCCAATGTCGCGGGCTGCTACGTCGGTACAGGGTTGCGTTCCAAAATTCACTCTCGGTAACTAAAATCTATAGTTTATGTCACGTACACACACCACTGAATTGCTTACGCAGACGCACGGTAGAGACATTGGTCTAGTTTCCACTTGCGTATATCAACAATCTTTCTGTAGCCTTCAAACTATTATAAAATGTAACGAAGTATCTTTTTTCGTATAAAGGCCATTTATTTGCTCCATTTTTAACGAGTACATAATCTTAAATGTAATTATATATAAATTTTATGTTCTTACACGTGAAAATGCAGATCATAAAAGTTGGATATAGTACTACGTCAGCATATAATTGCACGTGATATAACTATCGTCGACATTTGAATAACTTTCTATTAAAAATTACAATTAGCAAACCTGTTCACAAGGTTATTTAGTTCAGGCTATTGGTTCATGGGACTAACCAATCAGAATGATTCCGAGATTCCGTCTTGCATGGGGAGGCACCCTTAAAGCTATTCCAATATTCCTACTGCTCATGATATGAAACCATCGTGCCATAAAATCTATGAACCACGCAGTTGTTAATCATTCATCACTATAATTGTTATTTACCAAGTATTGTACTCCTGAACTTATTTCTTCGCAAAAACTCTGGTTGCATTGCTAACTCGCATTTTTAGAAAGTGATTGCTAGTATCTAAATTTTCTTCACGTAGCTTGGGTGCTAACTTTAAATCGATATTTTCATCTTCGTTAAGTACGTCATTTAAATGTTCAAAATTAGCTACATTTGAAGGTAAAGAATATTTTTTGCAAAACTTATCAGGAATAGTAATAATTTTGTTATTTAAAAACCCCGCTTTTGTATTTTTAAAAGCATGTGGTAAATCCGCGTAAAAATACAATTTCCTTTCCTTATCGAACGGATGCGTACACCAATTAATTATTTGTGAATGTCGCGAAGCATTAATACCGTACGCTCTCCACATAGCTTGGTTAGCTGGGCCCATGTCCGAGGTGATTGCGTGGACGCGCAATCCAATTTCTTCGGCTTTTATAATAATTTCATCAATCACAGGTTTTAAATTTGCACCTTTTACAGAATCGCCCGTAAGATCGTATCTCACTACTTGTTTCCACCTTGCACCAAGCCCAACTAACATTACAACTAATGCATGAGTTGCCGTTGCAGTATGATCGTGCCCGACTAGAGTTACATTGCCAACGTACATATTCGTTGATGTATCGTAAAACCTTCCTGGTGTAATACTGTGTACTCATTTCGTCGAGAACTATCATACAATCTTTGTACAAACCTTTTTCAAAGCAATTTTAATTTTTAAAAATTCGAATACTTCTGTAATTACCTCACCACTAAAAAATTTTAAATTTTCCAATTTTTTTGTTAGTACTCTAATACAAGGGAAAGGAAGTTTTTGCCGTAATATTTCTTCATAACCTGCTGTACCACATGTAAATCTTAATTTGTAAGCATTTATCAAAGTTTCGTTGCATCAACGAGGCATTCTTTTATATTTTCGAGTTAATAATTTAATTTGATCTTCATTTAGAATGCAAGATAAACTTTCCTTTAATTTGTTTGAACGTACTTCCTGTTGTAATTTTTTATTCCGTTTATTGGCTGCAATAAGACTCTTTTTCAAAGCTATCCTAGATTTTTCCGATTTGTTATATAATTTTTGTAATCTATTAAATCGTTGTTCAAGTATTTCTTCGAAAGGCGTTTTTTCCTTCAGTTCTTCAATACTTCCTTCAGTTTCCTGAATTTCTTCCGAATTGTTGTGAACATCACCTGCACATAAATTTTTTGAAATAGAAAACTGACATTTGGTCGCAGAAAAAAAATTAAATACTGGTTTTAAAAAAAGCCCTATTAAAAATAATAAATATTTATTTTTAGCTTAAAAGTTCGAATTTTCGACTAATTTATGATAAAAATGATAATTTAAATATTGTATTTCATTATTTATACAAAAAGCGGTATATTTATTATATTTAAAATAGTTCTGAACACACTTTAGATTTTCTTCATAATTTTCAAATAATTATTATTATTACAAACATTTTTTAAAGTTTCTTTTTTAATTAAGGGAAAAGTAGTATAGTATACTCCGATATTATGTAATATAATCAAAACAAGTTCTATAGTTTCAATGTCGGTTAATAATTGAAAAAGTATACAAAATTCAAGTATTATATTCAAGTCTCGTTCTCACGATTAACAAGTAGTACCGGCTTCCATGCCCGGTGGCGCCACAATCTTCAGAGTAACTTTTTTCCCTAGCCCCATTCTTGCTTCATATCACTTCATATGGTCACGGTACTCCGGGTACTTGATCATACTTGACTCTTGTTCACATTTTTCATAGCGATTATCACTTGCTCCCGTTAATCTGCGATAAGTACTCCTACTCCGTTCTCGGAGTATCCAAATCTCCGTCTCCGTTCTCACAATCCGGCACGTGCGAATAATTCCAATATGTCGGATTCGGAAGGTAATGACCTCGCTGATAGAGGCTAGTGTCGGTTAAAATGCAACGTAGATAATGCGAAAATACACAACGACGAGACTTATTGCAGGTGCCAGCGACGCGGGGAGCGTCGGAGGAAGATCTCGAAGCGTCTCTCGCAGCAGAAGTCCTTCACGTAGCTCGGGATCCAGGAGTCCGTCCAGATCTCGATCACGTTCCCGATCACCGTCTGGGTGAGTCTACCTATCTTTCTTTTTTTTCTCTCTCGGCCGATCATCATCCTTTTCCTCTTCTTCTTCATCATATTGATTGCTATTGTCCAAGTCTTCTCCTGCAACCATAAATGCTCGGGCCTGTTTTCTATTGCTGAACTGGCTGCACTATAGTTCAGAGTTTATCTTCTTTTACTCCATATAAAAGGAAAAAAGATAAAATTTGATTAGTGCAGTTCAGCAATAGAAAACAGATCCCTCGTATGTAACATATGTACAACTTCATTATCGAATATGTCGACACGTAATAAGAGTTTTAGCGTTAATTTATTTTTGTTGCAAATCCAAAAGAAAAATATCGAATCTGATATTTTATTTTCTTGCGTCTGCAACGAAGAGATTTTTAGATGTTTCTTAAATAAATCTGGATTAATTTATCTCATAATATAATGTTTATTTCATTTGTAGCTCAGAAGATGGAGACCCGAAGCTGGACGAGGCAGAAGAAGTCAGATCGGGAGATGAAGAAGCTGTGGAACCGGAAGAGGAACCTGAAGGTATGATAAATCATAAAATTTTTAATCACACATGCAAAGTTGTTTTATATTTTTTTGCCATATATGTTATATTTCATATTTTATGGTTGCAGGAGAAGACTTGGACAATAGTAGTGAATATGATGAAGAAGAAGAGGAAGAGGATGATGATCGGCCGAGAAAGAAAAAGAAGAAGGATAGGTTTGGTGGGTTCATCATAGATGAAGCTGAAGTAGATGATGAAGTTGAGGATGACGATGAATGGGAGGAAGGTGCCCAAGAAATTGGCATCGTGGGAAACGAGGTGGACGAGTTGGGACCGACTGCGCGTGAAATTGAAGGACGTCGTAGAGGTACAAATCTTTGGGAGTAAGTATTAAAATTTTGGAGATAATTTCGTATTTGTTTTGATGAATGTAATCGAGTTCTTAATGAACGGATTTTATAGTTCGCAGAAAGAAGACGAGATTGAGGAATACCTTCGTAAAAAGTATGCAGACGAGTCGATTGCCGCTCGTCGCTTTGGCGACGGCGGTGAAGAAATGAGTGACGAAATCACTCAACAGACTTTGTTGCCCGGCGTAAAAGATCCCAATTTGTGGATGGTAAAATGCCGGATAGGAGAAGAAAAGTCGACCGTGCTGTTATTGATGCGGAAATTTATCACGTATCAATTTTCCAGTAAGAAATATAAATAAGATTTATATTTTTTTGATTATTTTTGATTGCATAACTCTTAATATTCTTTTGCCTTTTAAAAATTTTAGGCGAACCTCTTCAGATAAAATCCGTTGTGGCACCGGAAGGTGTTAAAGGTTACATTTACATAGAAGCTTATAAGCAGCCGCATGTAAAAGCTGCTATCGAAAATGTTGGTAACCTCAGGATGGGTATATGGAAGCAGCAAATGGTACCGATTAAAGAGATGACCGACGTGCTGCGAGTAGTTAAAGAGCAGACCGGTTTAAAAGCTAAACAATGGGTCCGTTTAAAACGAGGCATTTACAAAGATGATATAGCTCAAGTTGATTATGTCGACTTAGCACAAAATCAAGTTCATTTAAAATTGCTTCCGAGAATCGATTACACCAGACCACGCGGGGCATTGAGAACAGCGCAGAGCGAATCTGAAGCATTGAAACGTAAGAAGAAAAGACGACCACCTGCGAAACCATTCGATCCCGAAGCAATCCGTGCTATTGGCGGTGAAGTTACCAGTGATGGAGATTTCCTTATTTTTGAAGGAAATAGATATAGTCGTAAAGGGTTTGTATTATTACATGTTATGCTAATATTATTATATATATTTATTTATATAATTATTATTAATTAAAATTATTTCTTATTTTACGCAGTTTTCTTTATAAAAATTTCACTACAAGTGCTATTATCGCGGAGGGTGTAAAACCTACACTCTCCGAATTAGAGAGATTTGAAGAAGCGCCGGAAGGTGTTGAGATAGATTTAAGTGGCACTCCAGGAACTGGAACTTCTGGAAAAGAAGATCAGTCCGTTACTCATTCCTTCAGTAACGGAGATAATGTAGAGGTTTGCGAGGGTGAACTAATAAACCTACAGGGAAAGATTGTTTCCATAGATGGAAACATGATTATGGTTATGCCAAAGCATGAAGAACTTAAAGAAGCTTTGGAATTCCAAGCTTCGGAGTTGCGAAAATACTTTACGCAAGGCGATCACGTTAAGGTAAAATTTGCGATATTGCTCGTTTTAAAAATAGATTTCTTTTTTTTACAATGTTACAACATTATTTTAATTAATTTGCAGGTTGTAGCAGGAAGATACGAAGGTGATACAGGTTTAATTGTTAGGGTAGAACAAAATAGAGTAGTTTTATTTTCTGATTTGTCAATGCACGAACTCGAGGTTCTTCCGAGGGATCTACAATTATGCTCTGACATGGCTACCGGCGTTGATAGCTTAGGACAATTCCAATGGGGTGACTTGGTGCAGCTTGATGCGCAAACAGTCGGTGTTATCGTCCGATTAGAACGTGAGAATTTCCACGTTCTCTCTATGCATGGCAAAGTGGTCGAAGCGAGGCCGCAAGGTCTTACGAAGCGTCGAGAAAATAGAAACGCGGTCGCTTTAGACTCGCAACAGAATACCATACAGAAAAAAGACATTGTTAAAGTGGTCGACGGACCGCATGCAGGTCGAGGTGGTGAAATTAAACATCTGTACAGAAGTTTTGCCTTTTTACACTCGAGAATGTTTGTCGACAATGGTGGAATATTCGTATGCAAAACCAGACATTTACAGTTGTCCGGTGGAAATAAGACAACTTCCATTAATTCTATGTCACCAGTGGCTGGATTTATGTCTCCTAGAATTGCCTCTCCGATGCATCCTAGCGGGTTGGTCTCGTTCTCATTCTATATTCACTTTATTGATATGTTCTTTCAACGTTTACTTATATATCAACTATTGATTAATCTTACAGAGGTGGTTTTGGACGGGGCGGCGGAGGCGGAAGAGGCAGAGGCCGTGGTGGCGGTGGCGGTGCAAGACGGGATAGGGAATTAATTGGAACCACGATTAAAATAACAGGTGGACCGTACAAGGGAAACGTGGGTATTGTGAAAGATGCGACAGAGACAACAGCGCGCGTGGAATTGCACTCCACGTGTCAAACAATCTCCGTCGATCGATCTCATATAGCAAATGTCGGCGTCCCGACAAAGGATGGTGGCTTCAGCAGTTACAACAGAACTCCGGCTTACGGTGCTGGTGGGCAGACGCCGATGTACGCGAGGGACGGATCAAAGACACCTATGCACGGTTCCCAGACGCCGATGTACGAAAGTGAGTATATTTATACATGTATTTTTTCTTTTATATGAGATGATGTGAAAAGTACAATTTTTAAAATTTGATTGTTATAGATGGTTCTCGCACCCCTCACTACGGTTCAATGACGCCGTCTCACGATGGATCGCGAACACCAGGACAATCTGGAGCTTGGGATCCGTCAGTTACTAACACACCCGCCAGGACGAACGATTTCGACGGCTACAGTATAGAAGAAGGTGGCTCGCCCGGTTACGGGCCCGGATATCCTCCTACTGGTGGGCCGTTTACTCCGCAGACTCCGGGCACCATGTACGGCTCGGAACAAAGCTTCAGCTCATATCAGCCGAGTCCTAGTCCTGCGGGCAGTGCTACCGCGAGCCCAAGTCCTACAGGCTATGTTGCTACTCCGTCCCCAAGTGGTACTGGATACACTACTAGCCCACATGGAGCATTTGCAACTCCTTCTCCGATGGGTTATAGTCCTATGACACCTGGTAAGTAATATAACGCTAGCGGAATCTCTATATAAGTAGATGAGGATTTAGTCTCTATTATAGAATCTAAATGTTTTTCAGGTTTCTAAATGATTTTATAATTTAACATTGCAATATAATCACTCTTTAACTTTCTTATCGTATTATTTACATGTAACGATTATAAGTAAATTTTAACTCTATATCTATCTTATTATCTACTCAATTATATTTTTTTATATAACAGAATTAAAAAGCAGAAGCAAATTGAACGAACGAACGAAATGAAATGTGGGTTTTTGAAACGAGTTATTATTCATCTCGTAGTACTTTATTCACAACTTTTAACTCTTCAAATCAATCTCTTATTAAATCGAGACGTACATAAAATGAAGGTTGGGATCGAAACCGGCATCTGCCGAATACGAATCAATTGCTTTCATACTACGCGTAGCAGAAACAAATTCTCGATCGTAACAAGTTATAACTCGGTATGAGGTTCAATATTTGTCATACACCATAATTCGTAATTCTTACAGGAGTACCAAGTAGTCCATACAATCCACATACACCTAGTTCAACAGGAATGGATGCAGTCGGTTCCGGTATCATGGGTAGCTCAGAATGGCACACGACGGATATTGAAGTACGCATTCGCGACTCTCATGACGATCCTGCTCTCGCTGGACAACAAGCAGTTATTCGAGGAATTTCTGTAAGTGATTCTGTGTCAATTCTGAATAAAATAAGATATTGCGATACCGGTAGTTCACATATGCGCATCTTTTTAATTTTATTTTTCAAGAATAACACGTTTATATTTGTGACAGGGTGGTATGTGCACTGTTTATCTACCTACTGAAGATCGAGTTGTGAACCTAGTGTGTGAACAACTGGAACCTGTGGTACCGTCACGCGGCGATCGAGTCAAAGTAATTCTGGGTGAAGACCGCGAAGCTGTCGGCACTTTACTTTCGATCGATAATCAAGAGGGAGTGGTAAAACTGAACACGGACGAGATAAAATTCTTGCAATTGCGATTTTTGTGTAAAATGAAAGCACTAGATTTAAAAGATTTGAAATGAACAATTTTCTAATTCGTACACGCAAATATTGTAGCGTAGATATTTTCGACACGATAATTGATATCTTTTTATCTTATAATGTTTACTTCAAACATTTACATTCTTGTATATTAAGTGTCTAATATATATCTGACAGTAATAATAATAATAAATGGTAAGTGATACATATGTCATCATGTGTTTATTTTTTTTCTTGTTCTACATTATAATTCGTAACAAATTAGTAGTAGAAAAGAGACAGTAAGTATAATTTTTTTATTTTTGGTTATTGCTATCATGATTACAACTTGTCCACATTATGTCTTAGATTTTCTTGAATTTTTTACCTTATTTATTTAATATAAAAAAATATATATATCCATTTTTATAAATTTATATTTGTAAAATAAAATGAACAATCATGTCTGAAGTTACTGTTTTATTAGCACGAAGTAATGCGCGTAATAGAAATATAGTTGTGATAGAATAATGGGCACAAGTCGTTATAGGCTTGTCAGAAATACCCAAGAAACCCGCGAAAAAAAATCACGCGGTTGAACATTTAGAATTCTTGTTTCGGAGCATGAATATATGTTTCTTATCGTTTTTTTTGGTACTTGTAGGTTGCACTTTCAGTAAAAGGTTTGTTGCATTCGATAAAGATATACGTGCCATTTAACAATTACTACATTTACTTAATTTTGTATGATATCAACATTTATTTAAGTAAATGAATTCTTTAAAATTGAACATAATCATGTCATTGATTGAAGTTTTCAACGTATTTACTGTCTTGTTCGTGATAGGTTAAGCGAGGCTAAATTTTTTAATCATGGTCAAAAAACCGGCACCGTTTTATTCGAAAGAAACGATTATGGAAAGCAATGTTGGACAAATGATGAATTTACTATTCTTAGTAGTCGGAGGATGTTTCAAGATATTCTACCCAACGTAAGGCCAATGGAAGCATCTTACAAGAACTTTGTCGACATAAACTGTATTATAAAAGACAATATTTTATCATCATAAACAAAAAATTTTGAAAGCTTAATTCCTAAAGAAAATGTATCTTTTATTTATTTATTTATTTATTTATTTATTCAAAAATAAATTTTGTAAAAGAGCGACCTCGCGATATTTTCGGATCTCCGTTTTCTATAATGAGGAGTGAGTGCTCTTAAAGGAACGCACAGGAAGCTTTCTAAGATTTTCCTCTTCGCCAGGTGAACGTCATCGATCCCCAGAACGATCAGTACATAGCACACCTCATGGACTATTTTCACATATGCCTTGAGAGCGTACGGAGGCTGTCCGTTGGCAAAACGAAGCATTTGATGCTGAAAGCTCTGGCGGACACTCTGGGCGGTTACTTGCGGGTCTACATCCTCCCCATCACAAGACACTCGTATTACGCGGGTAACATCAAGTATCGTAACGCGAGGATGCTGTTTGAGCTCTTCGACGAGCTGAAGGTCTTTCTACAGACAAACGGTGCCAGTTGGTCGAAGCCCAGCCAAGATCTTCCAAATATCAGGATTCCACCCATCATAATTACACCACCGAAAACGTCGTTTGCCTGTAATGGGCTTATCACGTATTCGGCGTGTAAGTGCGATTGTTAATCCTTCGCGATCCGAAGAAATTTCGAAAATGCATATTAAATATTGTATATATTACTTAATTTTGTAAGCTAATTGTAATTTGAAAACTGTATCGAATGCATGCACTGATTTCGGATCGCGAAGAATCAATCTGATTGTTTGTTGCTTTTTCCATAAATGAAAATAGCTTCCGAACGTGACAGCGGTGACTATCGAAGCTTCACGTTCAGAAAAAAAAGACGGTCCACGATGAAGCGGGGACATTCGAGACGTGCGGTCGATGGTGAGAACGAAGGAACGAGTTTAACTTTGAACGACACTTGTATACTATTTTAGTATTCTACATGTGGCTGACACACGAATGTAAAGCTAAAAGTAGTACAATATCATTGTCACCTAAAAAAAATAAGAAACTATTTTTGTATGAAAATCTAATTTACATAACTAATTAAAAGTAAATCGATATTTTAACTGTTCTGTAAAGAGACTGAAATGACCACTGAAAAATATTGTCTACGACAGCTGACAATTTTATATTACGGTTTATCTTTAATTTCAAATGCTGTATATAAGTACCAATTATTCCTAAACTCTTTTATTTCGCCAAGGCTATGGTAACGAAGCTACGGCGAACGAAGTCACAATACCCCTCCCGTTCCTCGATAATGAAGCGGAGCCAAACAGGTAGTTATCGAGCCGCAATTTGTAAGAATGCCTCGGCGAACAAACAGCCTCAACACATCACTCTCTATCTAGCATCGCGCTGCCCTTCAAAACCGATAGCCTGCAATCATTGTACTCGGAAAAGTCGGCTTTTGCCCTCGTGAAGTACTACATCGCCAGCGTCAAGTGCATCACTTCGCGATCAAGCACAAAAACGCGGCTGCGAAAGTTCAATAAGGACTTCTATACCTGGTTGCAACAATCTGTACATCACGAGCAGATCATCAGATAAAATAATGATAATATAAATTACAAGATGTCTCTGGGGAAAAAATTCTAAAATTCTCATACTAGAAAAATCATGTCCTGTTCCTTTTCCGCAGATTTTCTACTTTACAATTATTAACGCGGTTGTCCAAGATTAATTTTGGACGAACCGTAAAAACTATTCGCAAAAATCGCAAATACTTTTCGCATTTCAGGTGCGCCGACACCTGGACGACGAGAAATGGTATCCAGCATTCGGTGGTGTCCTCCGAGTACTGGCTACCTTGCGAGAATCGGGTAATATTTCATGACGGCCTTTCGTTGCGATTCGCCGCGTTTGAAAATTAACGAGACCGATATGCTATTCCGTTTTAAGCGCTCGCATAGCTAAAACTGCAGCCTCTGCAACGTTTCTCTCACCGTGTTTGCAAATTCGTGCGCGATTTCATTGTCCGTTTTCAAGGGGAGTAAAATATAAACGCGTGTCCATTAATCCTTTGATGCATCTCGGGGATCAAAATGGCCCTGTGCATTTTGCTTCGCATAATTTTTTTGTCGCGCATACGGCTTCTCGGAAAGTTTTGCTTTATTTTACAATTATAAAATTATAAAATCACGTTAGAAAAGATTAATGGACAGTCGTCTAGATTCTGTATTTGAAACTTTGGAGTAGAGAAAAAAAATTGATTAATTAATAGAATGATTGATTTAAAAGCTGTAACTTTCTCACAAACGATTTTATAGCATATTCTTTTTATGGCTTGATGTCTTAGATATCGGCGGCGATATTATGAAGAGCAGAACAAGCGGTACTTATCAAGTTATGCCTAAAGTAGGTACGGGACGTACGAGTCAGACGGACGAGAGTGGATCGTCGCTTTACAAAGGAAAAGGAGAAAGTAGGTTGTTCCCTCGCGAGATAATACGGTTTTTTCTCCTCTTCGCATCTGTATCACTTAATTTAATAGTGCCACTTTCTAACTACTCAAAGGACAATTAAATTGTAAGATAATTAAATTTGTGCCGATTGAATTCAGACAGTACAACGACACTTGGACCTACAGAGCTCGTGATTATAGCAGTGTTATCCGTACTGATGATGTGGTTATTGGTGGGATTGAGCTTAGTGTGCTACAGATTTCTCACCAAGCCCTCCGAGGGCTGTCCACCCTGCGAATCAAAGGCTACACCGTAAGTTAAGGGATCGCTTTCTTTCGCTTATCTATTATCTTTATACAACACGTGCATGGAAAGTGCCCCATTACGCACGCTACGCGTGCGTGATAGACCACTTTCCAGGCACTTGCAACATAAAATAGGGAGTGTAAGTCGTGTGTAAAGATGAAAATTCCCGGGTGCGGTTACCGCACTCGCCTTCGGCTCGTGCGTAAACTCCGCACCCGGAAATTTTCATCTTACGACACTTGTTACACAAATAACTATTCTGTTTCACATTATATCTGGCTTACTCCGAATTGCCTATACTATAGAATTTATTTACTTCAGCTTTACAGCGAATTGCTTATACGTCAAATATCTAGTTTATATTAATGTTAAAGTTATCTATTATTTAGACGTATTATATAATATATAATTTATTATTTAAGTTTGGAATTTTCCCCGCAACATTTGCCGTAAATTTTTTGGAAAAAACGAATGCTTAACGCTGTTATGATATTCAATCCGTTCTTTTCTCTTCAGATTCGCGGTTCTCTACGAGAATGCGGACTACTGCCAACCAGATACGTGCCCCTCGAAGCCGTTGCGTAAGGGAGTGGTTGAAAAATTAAAGGAATGGTGGAGAGATAGGTTTGGACGGTGCCCAGGGGGATGCCAGGAGCACGCGGACGAGGAACGTTGCTTGGCCGCGATGAGTTACAGCAGCAAAGACGTCGTCAGCGATAGCAGCAGAATTTATCCGTGGGCGTGTCTTTTTACGTTAATTACGTTGCTCTGCTAGATTATTTGCATCAAAATAATATCTTTCCATTAATATTATTAGAATAGTTTCTGTAATTGTATATACTAATCGCTTTATACTATTTCGATTGCAATCTTACATCTGAATATTTTGTGATTAACAGGAGGAAGAAATACACTAAATCTACCTCCGCTCCGCAATTAGGAATGCCTAGGGGTCGCACGGTTTTCAAAGTTAATGATTATGATTTACTTTATTATTTATTTGTATAGCTAAATAGCCAAAATGTATTTTTGGTCTTTTTCAAGCGGTTGACTATATTGTAGATTTCAAGAAATTGAGTTTAACATTTTATAACATCTATTTTGCGCTATCTCCGTACGATCTTTGTACAATTACGAATTTTTTCTACAGCACAGCGTTTGCTATAGTTCCGAAGGATCGACCACCTACTCCGACAGTCCAGCCAAGCTGAGATAACGATTAGACAATAAAAAATGATTTCGGACATGGGGATACGATATGTGAAAGAATTGTATTTCTCCTTTAAGATGTACCATTTAACTTTAGAACATTTGTACTAATAAAAACTGAAATTTAATAGACACGAACAAAACTTTCTAATCCCGCGTATAAAATCTCGCGTATGTGCGGCATTGCGGGAAGAAACGCGAAGATTGTTTTACGGCCCCCGCACGCCACGTCGGGCCATTAATCTAATTTCATTACAGCCGGCCGCGCCGAAAGCACCCCTGATGTTTCTTCGTTCGCAGCTCCTCTTTCTCGCGGTTCACGCGCGCGGCCAGCAACTTGTTGCGAGCGAGAGGAAAACGAAACGAAGAGCGACGCGACGCGTCGTGGACGCCGGGTGGCGCGAAAGTGGGGGGAACGGAGCAGCGCGGCGGTTTTACGTGCGGTCCCCACTCCCCCCACCCGCGCGCGCTCTCAAGCGGCTCGCGCGCGCGTGCGCGTCTCCCGAGCGACGCCGAGTCGAGCGGCTGAGTCGCCGAGACCGCGCGAAGTTAGCGGCCGGCCGGCAGTGTCGTGCGACACCTCGGCCGATTCGTTGCGTCTTTCTGAGCTGAGTGCGTGAAACAGTGCGCGGGAAGTGACACGCGTCGCGAGACACCGGCTCTCGTTGAACGAAATCATCAAGCGGACTGTCGAGCTGCCTTCGGACGACCAGTTGTAATTCAAACGGTCAGCGAAGGTGAGTCGTTCAACGCGATCATGGACGCTCGCTGAGAACGTCGCTCGAGCTCCTTTCCGTTGGTGCGTCTTCGACAACCGATGACAGCGGACTTGTCAGCGCGACAGTTAACGCGTGACGTACGACGCTTTGTGACGGCTTTATAGGTGGAGCGGGGCATTGTGAGGCCGAGAACGAACGATCCCCTTTCGTGGAAGGAATCGCGCGAGCATTGTGAACGTCGAGTCATTTGCGCGCAACACTGTGAGACACACCGGTGCGCGGTGACGTGCTTGTTCGACGCGACCCGCGGACTGCGGCACTTCCGACAATAGTGACGAGGGACAGGAATCGTTGAGAGGATTTCGACGGATCCGTGAGTTTTACTTATCTCCGAGAATCTGGTCCGGCGAGAGACGTACGCGTCCACGCGAATGCCGAAACGTCGCGGTGTGATTCGCCGAGCGGCGGCGCGCGCGCATGCTCCATTTTGAAAATTTGAAATTTACAGGTGACTCGCGTCGACGGGCGAACGCGCGCGCTTGAGATCGCGACATCGCGTATATACGCCGCATCCGGGATTGTTCCTCGAGTATGTGCGCTACGGCGGGATTCTCGTGCTTCCTGGTGTCCGCGCGCGTCTCATACGATTGACTTTTGTGTATCGCGTCTTGTGCGTTTCGCCGTGGGACAACATGGCACGCAGGGATCACCGCCAATTATGCACGCTGTTCTTCCTGCTCCTCTTCGCGGACATCTTGAAAGGTAAGTCTTCCAACACTTTTCACGCCGACATTTTGGAGAATTTTGGAGCTCGAAAGGATGCGAGAGATTTCTGTCGTTTGATAAGCTGGATAAAGTGCGCCGGACTTATAACGTGATAATCGGGATTTTATGATCTTATAGAGATATTTCTCGATTAACATTGATTTTTCTTTACAGTCGCTCATGTTGCGATTATATGTTTATTATACTTAACTGTAAAAGAGACAGAAATTGTTTTTTTTATTTTTTTTTGATGAATTTAATCGATTTTTTTCAACATATGTTTCGCAATCTGTAGATAATGTCTTGAATCAATCTTAATATTTTCCGAATTCCAACACGAACTGTCGACAAACGATTCAGTAACGTGGACATTTTCTTGCTAACGATATTAATAAATACTAACGATAAGTGCGCCGTTATTTCCTCGCAGTCTTTCATTCGCTTTATCAGCGGTTTAATCGGAAGAGTTCTCGAGGCATACGATAAAGCAAACGTTTAATCTCCACTCGAAATTTGCGATTGGCCGAAACGATTCGAGGGTACTTTCAACTTCTGTTCTTCTTCATAAACATTCAACAAGTGGCGACAGGTCCACTGGCTCGTGTGAGTTAAGTTCACGAGAGCTTTTCAAATCGCCCGAACTCCGCGAGGACTTTTCCCGTCGTAAAATATCCAACTTTACTGCACCGATCCAAAATACGCCTTGTTATACATGGTGTTTACGCATGTTTCGCGTAAACCTTCTATGAATAAATTATATATAGATGTAATGCATGTATGTAAATCATTTTACAACATATATAATTCGCAGAAATTATTAATTTTAATAGAACATTTATTATAGCAATTACAACTAATTTTACATGCAATAGTTTATTAAAATTTCAATTTGCATTCTTATTTCGCAAGTCGTTATTTTGAATTTATATTCTTTTGACCGGTAAATTCCATTTCGCATACAAATCGCTAAATTTTGTATCATTAATCGAGAAATTCCGATAATCAGAATGTCCTCTTGTTTTACTAAAATTCATGAATAGACGAGCTATCGAGTTATCGGCTAAAGGATTAAAGTAAAGTAAAGTTTTTCTACTGGAAGTGGCGCTCGGAGCTCTTTACTTATCTCGATAAGACATCTTTCGTAATAAAATATCGAGTTGTCGTTACTCGAACTGTTTATTGCGTGATTTTCGTGTCTATACGTAGCAGCAGACGTTTCAGCGCTCGCAGACACTGTAATTTGTAAACGATTTAAAGCATTTCACGCCCCGTTAGCCAGGGTAATAGGTTCTCTTTTAATTACCGTCTAATGTACTTTTACCGTCTCCCTTGACACCCACTCTGGCCGCCTAACAGGCAACGCTTTTCGCTTATCGACGGTTGAGCCCAAGAGGCGAATTCTACGACAAGATCCCGGACCAATTTTTCCTGCCTGATTTCCTACCCCAAAGCTAATTGAAATTAAAATCGACGCGCTTCACAGAATATTTGTGCTCAAATTAATAATAGAAGGATAAACGTGCCTTTTTTTTAGCAACTCCATTCTTCCTTATAAAAAAGCAACGATAATTGCTTTTTATTTTTTTATGATATTTTACAGAGAATTATATGAAAAAATTATAATTTAACATTTTCGGAAATATTATATTAATTGATATTATCATCGCTCAATCCTTGGAATTTCACCATGAGTTGTTAACATTTAGTTATTTTCATTTCGAATGCATAGAACGTATAATTTAAAAATTTAAGCATAATATATTCGTTACGTGAGAACTTAAAAGAGAAAACATGTAGCAACATTATTCATGAAAATTGCCGCGGCCTTTGGTCTCGTGAATATTCATTAAAAGGTAAAAATAGGCAAGGAAACGATATATAAACCTGTGTTCATACACATATTATAATTTTTTATCGTATCGTATACACACCCTATCGATTTAATAACGCGATGGTGTTTAATGAAATTAGCGCAAAGCGGATGACTGCGGGTTTCTGCATAATATTATGGCTATGTTTATACGGGTATTAAATTTTAAAGAACAATTTTAATATATCATAAATACGATACACCAGCGGGTTTTATACCCGAATTAGACTATTTCTTTAGCTATGATCGAGTGGATTCAGAGAGAAGGGGTTGTTCATAAAAATTCTTTTAACGTCAATGCGCGCTAAATTCGTAGATTATTACGTCGACCGCTGAGATCGTAGCGATATAGAGCCTCCGTTCTCTCTTTTTCTTCCATGATTTATTTATGCGTTCAAGTTTCGAGACGCGCGATTTTATTGGCTTGTAAATAACGGATATTATGCGCGGCGACGCATCCCCGCGTTTAAGGACTCCATCGGACGTTATTTAGAGCTCAAAGGGAACGGCGCGAAGCGTGACGGTACAACGAAATATCACGATGATGATGCCGTGCCGGAGAGGGTGAGGAAACTCGTAAGTCTCCCTCGTTTTCTTTTGTCACCGCTCACGAATTTTACTGGAGTTCTATGCTAATATATTACTGTCGGTAATTAGCAGCCGAGTCGTCCCATTATTTTTACCTTAGTCCTTTTCAATGCGAACAAATGCGCTAATTTATTTTAACTCGTGACTGTCAATGTGACGCTTATTATGCAGAGAGAGAGAAAGAGAACAGAATGATATATAATTGAAGTAAGATATATATTTTAACAGGGAAAGAGAAATAAACTCCAGATTTATTAAAACATTTTTCTGAAAACACCCTAAAATTCGTAAACAATTTTTTAAGCGGATATATACGATGAAAATGAATTACATTTTCTTGAAATATATACATAAAAGATACTGGTAATAAAAGAAAATTATTGGGAATATATCTCAGCGTTTGACTTAGTTTCAAGCGAGCATTGGAATCCTTTTTTATCCCTTTTTGTTCTTGACAATCTTACTCGAGACTACGAGATAGCACATAACATTGAAACGTGGTGCGAATGCTATGTGCGGGCCGAAAATGATCATATACATATAGTAGCAGATCGTGACAGAATTTCTTTCCGTTACCGCACCAGAAAATCGTTATCGAATAGGTACATTATAATTCTTGTAAACTCAGCTGCATAACCTTATAAAATAATATGTGAGTTTGAATAAAAGTATTATTTAATTAGCACATTAGAGTTTTTATTCAAATTTTATCTACTTTTGGAAAATCATTTATTCGTTAATTTTTTTTTTCAAATCTTTGATGTTAAAAAAAATTGCAGCAGAAAAAACACAATGCTGCGTCACAATATCTTAATGATATATTACCACACGTAATATAAATTAAGGAGTATTTCGAATCTTATGGATACAATGGGAATGATAATTTTTTACTGACGGTTTACTCCTCGATCTTGGCTTTGGCGAAAGTACAAAGCAGCGATGTACGCGTTAGAAACGTCAACCGGCGAAAGCGAGAAGGAACAAGTCGTTCGCGAAAGGAGCGTGTAACGATCCGCGTGGCTTTATACTTCTTGCGATCGTAAATAGTAGCCAGGCGACATCCGTGAGGCGACAACCGTAAGCCGTGTTGTATCGAGCACCGTGGCGAAACGCTTACACGGGAGGATTGGTATAATGGCGCGTACGTTTACTTCTGCGGGGTGCGAGGATGAGTAATTTACGCGGTTGTTTTTCATCGTATATTAGACGGGCGCCAGTTAACAGCATCGACGCGCTTAATGATAGATAAGTCCGACTGATTGTACATCGCTTATATTCGCAGATATGACTTATCTTCCTATAAATCGCGAATTGTGTGATCCCTTGCGTTCTTCTTCTTTTTATCTCCGTGATTTTTCTGAATAAGTTGACTATGGTTAGGGATGCCTCCTAGTACAATATCAAAGTGTATAAATACTGATTGTTGAATATTGATGCTAACTGTATTACGAAAGTATATATGGACTAATTTTAAACATAAAATATCCAAGAGTAATTTTTAAAAATATATAACATTTTGAGATATAACATTACATTTTTCTTCTTATATTTTGTATTGAGCTGAAAGATCTGTCTTACAATAGAAATTAACAAAAAGAAGGGAAATAATTAAATACTGACATTATTTCATAGTGAAGAACGCTTGAAGTCTGATCCACCATTCTTTATTGTCATAAAATTTGTTTCTCATAATTTATTATAACATATATTTTCGGAGAAATAAAAATGTATATTTATGTACACGATATCAAATAATTGAAATCGAGTAATTCTGTTTTCCCCCTGCTTGCCTTCTCGAGTCTTTCAGCGCTACATATTCATTGATATATACGCATTTTCATCGTGGCGGTACTGAAATTCGGGCACAAAAGAAAACGAGCGGTGCGTCACGCCGTTTAAGCCACCCCCGCGTAAGCTCGTATCGATTTTAATTAAACTATAAATATGTATGGACCGTTAGCCGCGGGATGAAAATTCGAATTATCGCGTTGATCTCGCGCAAAGGTCCCCTCGGCGATTACGAATTCCCTTGCGTCCTAATACGCATGTATTTTTAATATATTTTTAATAATCATAGACCAAGTCAACAACTAATACTGAATGCTGGGTAATTGTCAAATATTAATTATCTACAGATTAAATAGATACCGTATTTTTTCAAGTATAATACGAATGCTTTCCAATCAGAAAGATAAGATAATAGAAAATATTCTTTTAAAAAACAAATTTATAGCGTTTTTAATGCTAATAAAATATTTTGTTGCTAAAATTAATTCTATATATTATACTATGTATTCTAAGAATAAGATATCATGTAAATTGTTTTTCCTACAATCAAGGAAAATAAATGTAAAATTACTTGTAAGGTTTTTTAGAGGTTAACGTGAAGAAACACGATGTATTTGTCATAAATATGACAAAAATGCATCAGGTCGACGTTCGAGTCGAATCGTATGTGGGTAGTTGAGTCTTTGGAGACTAAAATTTAGTCCGTGTCATTATGCCGAGTCATAAATTTGGCGAAATCTCCAGAAGGAGC